TAAAAGGAAACAGCAACACCCATGTTTTACAGCAACGACCAAGGCAACACAGTAATCGCAGCTAAAGATTTCAGCTGAGCAAAACAGAGGAAGCCATGCTGCTCAGGATCTTTGAAACCTCCTACCCTTCTTTGCATCTATATTTGACCTAATCAGTCCTTAACGAGTACCCAAATCTTTGCTCAGTAGGCAAACCAAAACTTATTAGCTGTACTCTCTTTCCTTCCAGCCCTATAACGTCATCCTTTTGTGAAAAAGCAAAACAATCACAACCAAAACCAAACAAAAACACACCGAAACCCTGTAGAATCCTTTCCCTGGGGACATCCCTCTCAGCCCCCCTAGATCTCTGATGTCTCTTTTAAGGACCAGTAAATGAAGACAGTTCTGTACATTACAGGATGGAAACTGGATGGCAGCAGGACTGTGTCACCTAGTAGCTGCGAACAGGAGCCTGAATTTGGTCCAAAAAAATCTGGCCAGGCAAAAACGTACTGAATTCCTTAGATGTTGCTTCTCCTTGTGGATTGATTCAATTAAATTGTGTCTCGTCTTTATCTGTCCATTTTTGCCAGCTCACCAGAGCACGTAATACCCCGACCACAGCCAGGAACCAGCCCCTGCAAGCACCACACTTGCGGCCAGGCATGTTCAGATGCTCCTGCCCAGTGCCACGACCCCGTTCAGAAAGGAAGGCCAAAAAAGCGTCCTTCAGCAAGCTGGGGTAGGGGGCACAAAATCACAAATCACCTCACTTTCCGTGGAGTCACAAAGCCTGTTACTGTTGTAGATGACTCAGACCTTCTGTGCAGCTGCACTGGCTTACAAATTCCCCCACCCAGCTCTGAGCAATTGCTGTGCACATTTTGTGAAGTTAGAGAAAATGTGAAACATACCTGCACGTAGAAGAGAAAAAGCCAAATGTCCTGTAAATATAAGTGTGGTACCCTGAACTGAATTGTTATAATCAATTGGGTAGAGGTAGATCAATGAAACTAGAATTTCTGTTGCCTTGACAATAGAAATCTCCTTCTAGTAGGTTTGAAATTTTCATGCCATCTTTAAAAATAGTAATTATCAATTCTTTTTCATTTGAAAACCTATTTGACAGCTTGATTAGTTTCTTGCCAAAATGTACTGAAGCCTCGGAGAAGTATCACTGTAGGCTTGCCCTGCTGACATACTCCTTGCTATGTGACAGACATCTGGCAGTAGGACAGCTGGACCTTCCATCCTACCCCATACATTTACAGGTACACACACGCACCTTCCCTGGAACTCACCCTGTACTGCAGCTTGAGAAAGGGAAAGGTGGACCACGCTACACAAGCAGACTCCATATATATACGGTAATAACCATAAAATATGTAAATAAAATTGACTGTAAGGCAAACTGGCATATATATCCTATTTGTAATTCCATGTGATCAAACACTCCTCCATCCCCAGCGTTAATAGCATTTAAAAGTAAATATAAATCAATATTGATGGCTTCCACCATTGTTTTTATCTACAGGTTCAAGTAATAAAATAGGCCATGTCTATAGTGATTTACTTGCTGAGAAAGCTTCGAAACAGATTGCATTGGAGCTCCCTCTAGCCACCATTTCAGGAACTGTTCAATTTTTGGAAAAAACAGAAATTGTTGTAACATTTTGTAACATTTACAATCCTGCCACCAACACAAAGATACCTTCAGATGTTTATGTAGATATTTTTGGTTATGCCTTTATTTTATTTTAGTTTACTGAAAATTTTCTGTTGGGTTCATTGTTCATGGTGGAAAAGGATTTAGTGCTGCAGATCAAAATGGTCAGTTTGGCAAATCAATATTATGCAATGGGAATGTCACCCTTTCACAATTACAAATGAGGAGGTTGCAGAAAGGACTAAGCCAAGTCACTGCCCCTTGACAAAGAGCACAGTGAGTCAGTCACCTTAAATGCTATTTTAATGCTGCTTCATTCTGAACAGCAGGTTACACTTCTTTCCTGGGCTCAGGGAGGTTTATGGCTAAGGAGCTTCCATAGCCATAAACTATCCATGATACTAATTAATTGTGAATCCTGAGTTACTTGAAATTGGAGCTGGTGCAATGGCTAAAGAAAATTTTTAAAAGCTTGCTTTGAGTCATGGTTAAGATCTACACTCTACAACATTTTCCAGGGGACTATTTCTTCTCCTCATGTTTTAAAATATTTTGCTTCAGCTAGTTATTTTTAATCCCACTTTGGGAGATGAGTCTTCAATTTATCACAGCTGAGCTGCTCTCTGCTCCATCTAGTGGTGCATAAAAATCCCCGCCATTCAAGCACAAAGTGTCTGCACAAACTGCTCCAAGCTGCTGGAACGCCTTCCCGCAGCCACAGTTAGAGAGAGAGGAAGTGATGCATGGGCAGAAAATAACAGCAAGCCAGTAGCTGCTCTGCAATAACTGGTCTTACTCACCTATTTTAGGCAAAACCACCCTAAGAATATAAGAACTGATTATGCTTGCAAGGGAGAAATCCACACTGTAGAAGAAAACCAAAAAATCCTGATCCTAATAGGTGCAAGTGCCTAAAAGTGCTGAAGGAGAAATTTCCCAGCTGAACTCCTCCAAAGCAGCAGTGTTCATGACCTTCAGGGTGCTGCATGAAACAATTTGGTCTATAAAAACATGAAAAATCTGATTTCTCCTCCACCTCCCATAGTGGAATGCACAAGACAGTCTTCACTATTCACAAAAGCAGCTGCAAAATCATCTAGGAATCAGGAGGAAATGGAAATTTTTCCACTGCTGCCTTTCTCTGTTTCATAATGATGTGCAGCATGTAGGTCACCTACTCTAAACTCAGGCAAACTAAAGAAGAATTCCTTCCAGGTTCCAGTGCTAAATCCTAAAATTCATAGCATGATTTATTTAGCCAGCCATGATTTATTTAAATCGGAAAATTTTTACTTGTGCATTTCTGACTTTCACTGCATGGGAGAAGGTCAGCTTCTTGATTTGCTGAATGTAGTGTAAATGCCATGGTTTGAAGACACTACGGGTACCAACAATTGTTTCAAATGCTAGCAACTTATACTGATATTATCTTCCCTTAACTGGAAAACTACCAGATAGAAAAGAGCCAATGATAGCATCCTGTTACAGCTAATAATACTGATCAGTCTTTTACTTCATTTTCACCAGAGCCATCATTAACTATAACCACATCCAAGGCAAAAGGGCTGGCACCAAGAGCTGGTGGCTTTAATTTTCATATTTAACAGTAGCCTTTCTTCTTTGTTTTCCCTTACACAAATATAGAAAAGATACTTATTAAAAGATGGGACAAATCCTACCCTATAGAAGAGAATAATTACAGTGCTTCTGTTCAGTACACCAAGTAGAGAGAGTTAATCACTGTTTACATTTGGGAGGGAGATAAGCAAGTCAAAATATCAGAAATTCCTACTGTTGCTATCTCTGGGTAGCAACTCTGAGAAAATCTTAATTATAGCAGTAAAAGGCTAAAAAAAGTCAGCATCATTCAGACATCTGAGCGTTTTACCCTGCCCAATAAACATCAGAACACTCCCAATGACATATGAAACTGCAGTAATCTACGATATTATTTCTGCATAGATAATTTGCACATTTTACAGTGGGAACGAAAGTACTTCATGTTTATCACCTAATACCAAGAGATAGAGACACATGAAACTAGGGTGCATTCCACATCAAATGCTGGAAAAAGCCAAATATTGTTCACTCTGCACTGTCAGAACAAGGGACGTAGGCAAACTGTTGTAAAATCATGAAGGCAGATTAGCCTTCTGCAAGCAAACTCTTCCTTAGGCTTCAGACACTGCAGGATCACACCCTAGGCAGGTACAAGAAAACATTTAACACGAAGCATAATATTGGAGCAGTGCTAAGAAACACTAGGATCAAATCTAACTGAAAAGCAAATAGTCTTTTTTTTCTTGTGTGGTTGTTTTTGTTGTTTTTGTTTTTTTTACTATGGATACCTTCAGAGTCATTAAAAAAGCACATTATGTAGGATGAGAATGATCCTTATGCTACCTTTGCAGTTCTTCCCTTCTTGATTCTGATGATTCTCCTTTTATTCAATCTTCAGAGTTACATATAACTATCCAAAAAACAACCCTCCCTCCCTCCCCAGCTTTTCACCTTTCACCCAACCACGTCTGATCCACGTAGTTTGGAGTAAAATTTTAACTTATGATAGTAACAACATGCTTAGGAGCCTAACAGCCTTCCACCCGCCCAAGTTTTTCTTCCTTGCTAGCTTCAGGCTAGTGAATGCCACTTTACAGAAAATCTGTTTCCTGGTATACCTGCTTGGTGTGTTTAAGTTTGGAAGATCCAACCAATATAAATCCTCCAGTTATTCTAGAGCCACAAGATGTGTCTGGAAAGGTGTAATCAAAGTGCCTTTTGGGTAATGGTAACTTGGACTCTATTCTTAGACACACACAGGCATGTTCACATTCATCTGGCTGGAGTTGTGGGGCCATTCAATTACAAGTTTGTTTCTTTGATGACAATTTTGTGCACAGCTTAGAGGAAAAATATTTTCATCGTTTAGATACCAGAAGCACATAAATAATGGTCTTGTACTTTTTGTAATGCTTAACATAAGACTTTGACAGACACAGGCAAACAAAATTAGAAGACAGATCCCAAAGGAGCTAAGAAATGTAATCATTCACAGGCAGAGTACCTGCTGTAATGACATAAACGTGCTGGTCCTTCAGAATAAACAAAAAGCAAGGAAACAATAGTTCTGGATAATCTCTGCATAGCAACGTTCACAAAATGTCATGTTGTTTTCCCAGACTTGAAGCAAACTTTTAGGACTGTAAGCAGAAAAACCATCCTAATACAGATGACATTACAAGAAACAGCTTGCCCCACTCCTACCTTCTGAACACCTGGGGGAGAAGAAATCACATTAGTTTGTGCCCTTCATGCCACATGACCACATACAGTAACAAAACGCACAATACACTTAAAGACTTATGGTACTGTTTATTTTACTTCAAAATAAATAGTGCATTTTATGTATTGTTTACAGTTTGCAAGTGTTTCAAATACTGGACACAAGGAAGAGAGCTGTAGAAAAGCACGGAGAAAAGATTACTAAGCACTGATGATAAAAATTTACGGCTGTGCCATTCTGAGTAAATCAGACTTGATATGAACAAGAATCCTACGGCATCCATGCAAATGTCAGTCCCATACACACCAGTTAGAGAGGAGAGATGGACTATACAGATGTAGCACTGACTGCACACTTAGCGACCCCGAGCTTCTCTGTTATCTTGAAGATGGACTACTAGACCCCGAAGGTGGACAGCAGAACTGGTGCAGAACATTATCTTCCCTGCCAAGGAAGGGGGGGGCAAGAAAGAAAAAAGACAGAGGAACAGAATCATAGGGAACAGCATTAGGAAAATGAAGATCGAGTTGTTTTTTGTTTGTTTTTAAGTTCACAAACAGTGCAACTTGCTTGTAAGTACCAACTGGTAATCCCTTCAGTGTCAGAGACTGGACTTTCAGGGCAACGAATAACAACCAAAGGAGCACAGGCTAATACCTGACAGCTAAACTCTCAGGCAAAAGCTGTTTCAAAAGGGCAATTTTTTTTCCCATATGAAAAATGACATTAAGCAGTCATACACATAACCCAGCCTACTGTGGCCATGGGGTCTTTTTTTTTTTTTAACATATTAAAGAGAAACATTCCACAAGGATTTTCACTGCCCATAGTTCACTGAAAATGCAGAATAGATGCATTCCCACTCCGCTGGTGATTTGCACACAGAAGTACTGATGATTGATAGAGCTGCACTTGACCCTTCACCCCCCTTCTTTTTGAGTCGAAAGAACTCTGTTCCCATGCAGAGTTGCCAGCATCATGAATGGTGCTACAAACCAGAAGGCACAAAGGCTATTAAAGCAGCAGTTTGGAATACCTACATCTGTAATGCTATAACGTGCTTTATGGCAGGTGGAGGAGGGGATGCCGGCTTAGCAGGAAGCTTGGAGGAGGTCACTTCTTTACCAGTAACACAACCACGAGTGATCACTTCCTTTAAACTAAATAACGAGCTAAAGGAGGAGGATGGAAAGAAACACAACGAAGGAAGAAAAAGCAAGAAAATTCAAAACCAAATAGTAAATTTCATGATATTCTGACAACTCCTGGTTGTTTTCAAACAATTTGCCGTGTACAAACACAATTCATCCTTTTTACATCACTATATCACACAGGCATCAAGTGGAAAATTACAAGTATTACTATAATTTTGCCAGCTTTCTTTTGCCATAGGGTTTGAACACAGATGCCTTATCTAATCATCTGAACCTCTCATACTGACTTAGCACAGAGTATGAGATATGGACAGTGTTCAGATCCGTTTTTCTTTGTTCATCTTGAAAACCAGGATAACCTTAAGCAAGATGCTGGCTGATCTGAGATACCTTAATTTCACTCCTTTGCTTAATGTGAAAAATAAATAAATAAATAAATAAATAAATAATATATATATAGTCAAGCTTTTAAATCCCTGCATATTGTAAAGAAAAAAGTGCTTATATGCTAAGTTATATAGTTAGGCAATTGTTATTCAGTTAGAAATAAGATGTCTATTTTTATTTATTTATTTTTGTAGAAAACTTCAATAAACAGTCATATCAACGGTAGAAAGGACTGTGAAGCACAGCTGCTGCAGCTACAGTTTTACCTGTGACTAATCATTGACTGGGAAACTACCCCAGGACTGAGGTGTCTGCTCTGTAGTGTGGGATGTATTTATAGATGCTGTGTGAGAAATATTTGCTATTTGTCTAAGCCCGGCAAACAGTACAGTGCTCACCCATGGAAAAAGTAAACAGAGCTGAAAAGAACCACATTTATCTGAAAAATTGGTATTTTTCAATTTCAGGAATCCAAGCAAAGAGTTCCCAATTTTCCCTGACTGTGCCTAGTGTGCAAGAGTTCCCACAGTGCTCTTGAAAAAGCAGAAAAATGAAATCACTCTATTCAATAGAGAAGCATCTGCCAGCCAGACATCACTGTATGTTAAGCTTCTGTGTTAGCCAGTTCGGGTAACAAAACAGCTACGATGCCTACCACTGGCTCAGGAAAAAAGAAATAGCACAATTATTCCTCCTATCATCTTTGATACAGTGGTTTGTTGCACATACGCTAACATTACCTGGTGAAACAAAGATTCCACATTAAAATTTCACATAAGCACAGAATTTTCAGAATAATGGTTTTACCTCCCAGAGGTGCTGATTAAACATTAAGCAGGTAGGGACTGCAAGAAAATGATGGGATTTCTTTGGTACTATAACATCCTTTGCATTATCTTTTTGTTTTCACAGGTATCACTGGGGAAAAAAAAGAAAAGAAAAATCTCTAGCTTCAAGATTTGCAAATGGCCTTTGGACATGATAAGGGCATCTAATTAAATATTAGAAAGATGGAAGGTAAAATGGATGGAGAAAGGAATGAGTGACAGCCAACATTTCATGCAAAGCAGAACAAGGAAATCACAGAATTATGAATAAACACATCAGATCCAAAGATCCATAGTGGTAAGCAAATCTGTCTGCAGTTGTAGTTGCATATTCCCGCCTATCACATATCTATTCCAACAATACAGATACAAGGAAAACTTGACACTCCCAAGCATGAGCACTACTCATTGTATCTGCCTGTCTGGAGCTATTGCTACAGCAAAAATCCCGAGGAGCTGACAGCTACAGTGATTTGGTGCTGTAAGGCACTAACACCAAGGAAACCAACCTGCCCGCTCCCTCACCCCAATTTCAGAGCAGGAAGCCTTCTGAAAAGGGTTGGCTACCGACCTGCCTTCACCCTGTAAATACAACCTATGTGTTGAGGAGTGATGTAAACAGCCGAGTCACCAGAAAGTTCAAGGGCTAGACTCCAAGCTGACATCTAGGAGGAGCACAAAAGTGAAAGTGTGTTATTAGTGTAAGCTATCTGTGATCCTGTGATACCTGGCACCTGCACAGATAGGCTGAACTTCTAACTCAACTTTGTTACACAGAAAATGTGCTTGGAAAATGTGGGACCAGATTTTTCTTTGACTGGGAAACAGATACGATTAAGGCTTTGCTCTGCACATACACTAGCTGCAAGGCCACCGAGATAAGCTGGGCCATACCAGGCAGGAGGCTCAGCAGCCGAAGTGCAACTAAGACTGCAGAGATCCAGGACCTTTTTGAAGCCTCTCTGGTTCCAGACACCATCTCCTTTACTTTGCCCTTCACACCAGACGTAACACCTGGATTCAGAGCACCACTAACAAAGACAGAGCACCTCATGGAGTCTGCAACTTTGAACAAGGGTACATTATGTTTAAGGCACTGGGAGGCAGGAAGAGAAAGGGAATTAAGGAAGCCAAGCTAGAGACATTACCGTTATTTTTTTTCCCCAACTTCTAAACAAGAATAAATCAAAAGGAACAAACATAGGAGGCATATGGGCTAACTGGAACACAAACATAACTAGCTCAAAGTATGTTATGTGCATAGGCTTCCTATGATTTTTCTTACAATAGGAGAATGTAAGATAACTCATTTTATTTCTATCTATTTTGAACATTGTAAAATGAGCAAGCAAGGGATTACTGCAATAGCTGCAGTTATTAAAAATGCATTATTTTCCTATTAACAATTCAAAACAGATGCCAAAGATCATCTAGACTAGAAATAAAACTGCTGGAGTGAATAAAACATCCAGCAATTAGCTAACAGCAAATCAGAGATGCTCCAGATTTCACTGTAGTGCATTCATTAATTGCTTCTTTCAGAGCAAATTTAATTTTTAATTCAGGGCTACAAAATTAATCCCTCTGTGTATTTTCTAAATAAAACCTCAAATCTGAAGTTAGAATGAAGCATCCATTTCTGTCTGAATTGTTTTCAATTATTTCTATTTATAAATTGATAAATGGGAAGACCAAAAGCTAAGTTTAATACTATTAAATGTATGTGGAAATTAGGAGCCTAATTGTGCTAGCATTATAGTAGCTGATTTTCATTCACAGCAAGAGGATTACTGTATTCAGGGCTTTTACAAAAATGAGCATAGTTTGTACTCGGCAGGTATTGCAGATACAGCGGTGTCAGGTTGCAACTATCGGTTTGGATACAACGGCTTCAAAAATCGAGCTGTTGATAAGGAAGACTATAACTGCCTGACTCAAACACACCACCACGTGTGTGTAGGATGCTACCTGGGACAGCATTCACATCACTGAGAATATGAAAATAAATTCAACAGTCCAGCAAAGAACAAAAATCCAGCACTTTTTTTTTTTTTCCTTTCCTAAAGGACGAGTGCTTTAAGATCACAGGATAATTTGTCTTTGAAGGGACTTCTGAAGTGTCTGGTGCAGTCCCCTGCTCAAAGCAGGGCCAGCTGCACAATGTTGCTCAGGGCTGCATCCAGCTGACTGAGTATCGGTGGAGACAGAGACATCATCTTCTTGTCTGACCCCGTACCGAAGTTTGACCACCCTCACAGTGACATTCATCCCTTGCTTCCCCTTGTGTCTAACTGGAATCTGTCTTGCTGCAATCTGCATCTGCTGCCTCTCACGCTGCCCTTTGCACCTTCCAGAAGAGCTGGCTGCACCTTCTCCATCCTCTCCCGTTAAGGAGATAATGCCCGTAACAGCCCTGAACCTCCTCTTCTCCACATGGAGCAGCTCCCTGATCTCCCAGCCTCTCCTCGCTTGTCCCATGCCCCAGTGCCCAGCAACTCTGGTGGCCCTCTGCTGGATTTGCACAGTATCCTGATGCCTTATTAGACATACTAGGGATGATGTTTCACAAGTGCTGACAGAGGAGAAGAAATGCTTCTTGCCTGCTGGCTGTGCTCTTGCTGATACAGCCCTGTATTGCAGCTGGTTGCCCCTGTCACACACTCCCAACTATACCACCCCTGGAAAAAAATCATCTTACCCAGGCAACTTGTGTGTTGGGGTGGGGGAAAAGGTCTAAGAGAAGAACAAGGCCATATCCAGTCCCTGCCCTCAACCATTTTATTATGAGTGATGGAATAGGGAAGTTTTAATTTAAACTGCTCTAAGTTTTTAATTCCAGAAAATATATTAGAGATATGAATAATAACCTACATGGGGCAAGATATCAAAACGTTCAAGAAACAACTGGTTTTCCCATCAACGTCTCTATAGGAACATCTCTAACAAACCCTTAAAATTAAGGCATTATAATCTAAGGAGAAAAAAAAACAGAAGCCTTATAAAAAGCAAATGGGAATCTAATAATGTTGAGGTCTTGCTCCTCACTGAAGGAATACTTCAAGTTGAAGTTGTCTTACAACTGAACTACAGATTCGTTACCACCAAATAAAATTAAGAGCTCTGATGAAAGGAAAAAAATCATACAAACTGATGTTCCAGTGTAAAACAAAGGGATGGATCCAAGCATGCATGGTTAGATATTACTAAGACATGAAAGATTAAAATCAGAAGTATGCTTATGCATTTACAGATTTAGGATTCAGTGTTTGGTTTTGTGTTTCCTTATTACCAGTGCAAAGTGAGCTGATTTTTCGGCACCAGACTTAATTTTTTTGATACTAATAGTATTCATGAGCTGGCAATTATCACTGAGTTAATCACTAATAGCAAAAAGTAAAAGTTAAATGCTTTTTTTTTTTTTCATGACATGTATGCACAATTTAACAGTTCTCACATTTCTAGTAACTTTGGTTACCTATCCTTTGATGCTTCTATAAGATGACTAAAACGCTCTGGCACTGACAGTGATTCGTATTAAGATGTGTAATTACTGCTGTCCACATGCATCAAAGAGAACTTGGAAAACACACAGTCAGTAAAGAGATCTATGTTAAATAAAACATTACTGGCTGGAAACCGTATATTTCTGATATACGTAGGGCAGCCTCTGCTCAGCATTTATAGTTAAAAAACCCTTACTTCCATTCAAATCAAAAAGCAATGCTGAGCCTTTTCCAGGTCTATGCCTCTGACCCTGAGAGCACTACATTCATGGCTATTCTGTCATGAAATACTTGGGGGCAGGAGAAAAAACCAGTGTTGCTCATAAGAACAATATCCTACATAAACGATGTGAAAATTTCCATGCCTTGCTATGTTAGTTATGTGAGAACTCAACCTACAGTTAGCTTCTTCCTACCTTTTGAAGTGTCTAGGGCGATGTGCCTCTTAAAGCACATGAAAGCCATTTTACTGTATCATTCAATAGTGCCTGAGAGAAGCAAATATAACTACCCTATGAGAGGTTAAAATTAGTTTGGTGTGTTTGCCTAATACTCAATTCTTTTTTCTTCCTTCTTTTATTTATTTATTTTTTTAAATTTTATTTATTTTTTATTTACCTTAAACTGCTATTCCTTTTCTTTTGTCAAATCATAACATTCGATGTCTCTTCACAAATAAAAAGTGTGTGGACCATATCTACTCTTACCTGTACTCTGAGTGTGTGGCAGGGACAGCTAGCTGGGTATGGTACAATGGAGCTGGACAGCAAAACTGGTGCAGAGTATTTAAAGACCTACGACACAAGGAAAAACACAAAGTCAAAACACCAAGTGTTTAGAAAGGGGCTTTTTAGGGAAAAGCAGGTGCTAGTAGGTATATTTGAAACTCTTGATAAGTTTGAATGAAATTTGAAATGCAGCTGTCAATTCTGAATCCCAGGAAATGAGGAGGGAAGTAGTCCCGTAGTTTAATATACACATCAATAATGACAGTGATGAACTCTTGCAATGAAGAATCAAAGTTTTGTTGCAACATAAAAATAAAATGCCAATTTAAGACTTTGTTTTTGCCTTGCTGTGTGGAACAGAGGCAAAAGATAAACACTAAGGGTTAAAATTCCTATGGAAATGGAACTTCAGACTTGGATGTTACTCTGCACCAGTCATGCTGTTTCTTTGTTAATGGCATTTCAAACGCAGTGCTTAAACATGAGGAGGCACAATGGGATGAGTAAGGACAGAAGATTTCTTCAGGCCCAGTAATTATACGCAGGCTGCAATACGCCACTTACAAACTTGAAAGAATCTAAGCTTCACCCAGATTTTAAACAATATTCTGAAATGTGCGATACAAATTTAATTGATGTCATTTGTTCAAAACATGAGGAAAAAAAAAGTTTTACAACGCAAAAGATGTCCTGCAGTCCAGATAATGATTGTATTGTTAAAAACACACGCGAGGTGCAAAACA